TCAACAGACATCTGCTGAGCACTTGCCATTTTTTGGGGGGGGACGACAGAGTCTCACTCTGTCCCTAGGCTGGAGATGCAGTGGCACAATGATGGCTCATTATAATCTCAAACTCCTGGGTTCAGGCGATCCTCCTGCCTCAGCCTCATGAGTAGCTAAGACTACAAGCACATGCCACATATCTGGCTAATTAAAAAAAATTTTTTTTGAAGAGACTGGGTCTCACTATGTTGCCCCAAATGGTCTCATACTCCTCCTGCTTCAGCCATCCAAAATGCTGGGATTACAAGCATCAGCCAACACACCTAACCACACTTGCCAGTTAAAAGACGTCTCACTAGGGACCACGTGCAAATAATAGTCAAAATAACAGCTAACCATGCTCCCAATTTTGCCACTTCACTAAGCACTTTACATGATCTAATTTCCATAACCTTCATGATGCCCTATAAAGCAGATAGGACTGTTATCACTATTTTAAAAACACAGAAGTCAGCTCAGTTAGGTTAAACAACTTGCCTAAGTCCACATATGTAGTAAGTGATGTCGTCAAAGACTTAAATCCAACTCTGATTCTAGAGCAGGCGTCCTCAAACTACCACCCCAGGGCCACGTGTGGGTGTTTTTGCCCGTTTTTTTTTTTTTACTTCAAAATAAGATATGTGCAGTGTGCATAGGAATTTGTTCGTGGTTCTTTTTATACTATAGTCCGGCCCTCTAACAGTCTGAGAGACAGTGACCTGGCCCCCTGTTTAAAAAGTTTGAGGACGCCTGTTCTAGAGCTGTGCTCCCAGCTACTACGCGATGCTCCTCTCCCCTGCCTCTAAAGAAATAGGGTTTAGTGGAGGATGTTTATGCATAAGTTATCGATTTGATCTGGCATGTGCCTATGAGAAAGGTGTTTTTTTTCCCCCTCCTTTCCTCACTGTCTAATATTTTCCACTACTTTTGAGTTTTATGTGCAGAGGGATGAAGGGAGAGAGTAAAAAGCTAAGATCAGGAGACCTGGGTTCTAATCTAGGCAGTGCCATTCAACTGTATAACTTGGAACAATAAATTTCTCCCTGCGCCTAGGTCTCTTACCTGTGAAGTGAGAGGATTTGACCAGATGAGTGTGAGGTTACTTCCACCTCTCGAAGCCAGTCTTATGAACGCAGAATCAGAGGATCTGTGTCTGCATCCTGGTTATGTTACCTGTGAACTACTGTTCTCAGCTTTCGGAGTATTTGCATACTCTCTACGATTCAGAGCCCTCATTTTGAGTGGATAATGTTAGTATCTATCCGCTCCCGTTTTAATAAATCTTAAATGAGATTATGCCTACAGGCATCTAACACAGAATCTGGCTCACAATCAATGTGCAACAAATTATTATTACTCTGGGACTCTACAACTTACCCCTGTCTCACTGAGAGCCCCACGTCCTTTGTCCCTTTCACCCTGAATTTGGCTAAGTCTCCTTCACTCGCTTTGGCGCTTCACCTCAGGTACTAAAAATCGATCCACGTCTTGGCGGAAACCACAACTGGGATAAATGCCCGACCCGGACTTCTCTCCCAAGCCACGGTGCTCCCATTTCCTGCGGAATCGAGGTTCCGACTGGACGCCAACTCCGCGAACTATAGTTCCGCCTGGAGCCCACCGCCTTTCATCCCAACTCAAGCCCCACCCGCCTTGAGTCTATTGAGCCCTACCGGCACCCGGCGCGGGCGGAAGTGAGTTTGGCGGGACGGGGCGGGACTTCCAGTAGGAGGCGGCAAGTTTGAAAAGTGGCAACCGTCGGTGTTGGCTGATTTTTTGACTTTGCCTGTGGCTGCTCCCCGAACTCGCCGCCTTTTTTGTGGGCGGCTGGCGCTGTAGGTGAGCGCGAGCGGGCGCGGGAGGACGGAGGAAGGGAGACTTGAGGGCGTCCTCGGCCCGCTGAGGCGCGGGCGGGCTTCGGGACTCTTGGTCTTGCAGTGTTTTCTTTGTGTGCAGGGTTGGGGAGGAGGCTGAAGAAACTAGCGCCTGGGAGGGCGGGGACGAGCCTATAGTTCATTTTTATTTGATTTGCCCTTGGTCCCAGAAAAAAAAAAAAGAAGCGCTCAGTTCCTGTGAAACTAATGGGTGTTGCCTGGTGCAGCGTGAACTGTGGAAGACGAGTCTTGAGTTGAAATTGGTCAATTCAAGCTTGCGTCTATGTATGTTTGTTAATCCATTTAGTGGGAAGGGGGGTGGTAATGGGGATTCTTTGGTTGCAGCTGGTTGTCAACTTTTTTTATAGTGCTCCATTGCTCAAGCATCTCCTAACCAAATCTAAAACCATGAACCAAAAGGCAATAGTAATATCGTGCTTAATCCAAGAGTCAGAGGAAGAGAGCAGTGTATGTATGGCACTACGCGTACGTAACACGATCATTTTTCCTTGTGCAGATTCAAAGAAGTTTTTACTTAATTCGTTGAGCTTGGGAGTCATTTCTGTTTGTTTTTGTTTAATCTCTGCCTCCTAGAATTATGATTTCCACAAACCGGTTTATTTTAGCAAACGAAGTCTGTAAAATTAAACAGATATCCTTTCAATACCTACTCTGGTCAGCATGCTGGTGTTGCAAATAAACGAGAAACCAGGGGGGTAATTAGCAGTTAATCTCTGCCACTTGCTAGGCAGAGAGGTCATCACTTTACATATATTAAGTCATATCTATACTTTATTCCATCTAAGAGCTCAAACTTTGTACTTAGAAAGTGTCTGTCTTTCTTATCACTTTCTCCACACACACATATTAATGAATAAATTGGAACTGAATTTGTACTTTGAAAGAATGGTAGAATTTGGATATTGGGGGAGATTCCAAAAGGAAACATTGGAAGTGTGGGAAAGCTAGGAGACTAATTTGGAGCAGAAAGTCCATGAGATTATTAAATGTTTTAGAAACCAAGCAGAAATTTTTGATGTGGTGGGTAAGGTGAATAATTGAAGTATTTTTGTGCAGATGTTACATGATGCATTAGGTGTTTTATAAGGATTAGTCTGATAGCAGAGTGCAAAACATTAGGAGAGGGATGAGCAATAACAATTATATTTTACACCTATGCTTTCTATAGTAATAATCTCTAATTAAATAAGATGTAGTTTACTATGGAAAAGTGACTTTTTCTGTAGTCTTTCTTTGGCCCAGTCCTTTTTATCAACAGATTTTTAAATCTAAGATTTAGATGAAAATATAGAATGCATATTTATGCAGAAAAGGACATACAATATGTGAGGCATCAAAATCTAGATTCCAAAAGATCCTAGTTCTAAAATGAAATTACATAGTAGAAAATACAGGCTGGGCGCGGTGGCTCATGCCCTGTAATCCTAGCACTCTGGGAGGCTGAGGCAGGTGGATTGATCAAGGTCAGGAGTCCGAACAGCCTAAGCAAAAGTGAGACCCTGTCTCTACTAAATATAGAACAAATGAATTGACCAACTAAAAAAATATAATATAAAATTAGCCTGGCATGGTGCGCATGCTGTAGTCCCAGTTACTCGGAGGCTGGGCAGTAGGAGATTGAGGCTGCTGAGACTAGGCTGATGCCACGGCACTCACTCTAGTCTGGACAACAAAGTGAGACTCTGTCTCAAAAAAAAAAAAAAAAAGAAAAGAAAGAAGAAAAGAAATACAAATCCTCACTTAAGGTTCAAGTAATCAATTATGTAAGAAGAACATAGGAAAGTCCTGGCTTGATATATAAATGGGTCATGTTAAAGAAGTCAATGAGTTTCAGTGATCATAAATATATGTTGTGTGGTAAATGCTACAGTTGTGGATAGATCAGCAGAGGTATTGCCTACTGTATGAATACTTTGGCTAGGCAGACCCTTCAGTTTGATATTGCCACTTTAAGAAGACATTGACCAAATAGTGTGCTTTGATATTATTTTTTTTCAAAATATTAACAGAGTACGTGTTTTGTTACCGGATACTTAAATAATGCTTAAATCAGGGCCTTTTGGTGTGCCCATCACCAGAGATAGTGTTCATTGTACTTAAAAGGTAGTTTTTAGCCCTCTTCCCCACCCCTTGTCTTGGTTTCTCATGTCCTTTATATCACTTGTGCCCCATGTTGTACCCATTGTTTAGCTCCATTTAGTAGTGAGAACATACGGTGTTTGGTGTTCCATTCCTGAGATACTTCACTTAGGATAATGGTCTCCAGTTCCCCAAATAGTATGTTTTAGAGAAGGTGGATAGATGGTAAAGTTTCTAAAACGATGTCATATATAGTTATTTTAATTTACATACAGCCATACACAAAGAAATTTTACTTAGAGAAGAGAGAATTAACAAGTGTGATAGCTTTCTTCACATTTTTGAAAGTGGTGTCATGTAACATATCTATATATATTAATAAATATATTCTATTTAGTTGCAGTGACTAGAAATAGGACCAGTAGGTAAAATTACAGGAAAATATATTTCTAGCCATAAGGAAGAGTTATCTAATTTAGAGCCATATTAAAGTAGGAAAAAGTTGCTTTGGGAGTTAGTGAATTCTGTGATGTTTTCAAACTTTCAAGCAGAAATGGGAAGTTATTTAATAATCTTTTAGAATGGCTTCCTATATTCATTAGAGGTTAGGCAAGTTGGCAGAGCTTCTTTTTAACCCTAATATTCTAGGAAACATTAGAGGGCTAAAGAAATAGATTTCCAGAATTGTGGAAATTCAGTTTGTTTGCATAATGGAATATATTCACTTTGGCTTTCTGGAATCATGCAGCTTCACTGGACAGTAGGGGATCTGTAGGTAACTAAATAGGTATTTAAGTAAGTGGCTGAGACAATGGCTTCTATTGCTGCTTCTCTTCCTCTTACAATTGCTGTTCTCCTAGTCACAGGGAGAGAGATGAAGAGAATGAAAAGGTCTTAGCCTACCAGGTTCACATAATGTAGTGTCAGAGTTCTGTGAACATAATTCCTATAATTGTGACAAGTATTATGACAGAGTTAAATGCAAGGTTCTAGGACAAGTTTTCTTAACCTCAGCATCATTGACATTTTGAACCAGATAGGTCTTTGCTCTGGGGGGGTCACCCCATGCATTATAGGATATTTATCAGCTTCCCTGGTCTCTACTCATTAGATTTTAATAGCACCTTCACACCTGTTCTAACACCTGAAAATGTCTACAAACATTTCCAGATGTGCACTGGAGGGGGGGGCATAATTGGAGAACTACTACTCTAGGGGACACAGGTAGGAATAATTCATTATCTGAAGACATTAGGATAAGTGGTTGTTTTGTTTTGATTTTTTTTAATTCCCACTTTGGTGATAGGAATTCCTGCCAATTACAATGTCTATTCTTTATTTTTTTTTTCTCCTTTCCTATTTGCATTTTAACCTTATTAATCATCTCACTCAGTATGGAGAATAGGATGTCAAATCAGAATATAATTCTACTCTATATTGCTTTTGTTAATGGTGTTGCCTTATATCCCTTGCTTTGAGAATTAAATCTTAGGATTGATCTTGTTAAGCCTTCTGACCTCTAAATGTAGAAAGGAAGCGCATGGTTTCTCATCTATCAATTCAATCAGTTCTCCTTCCCATGTGAAAAAGAACAGTATTAGGAAAATTAGCAGAAAATGACTGTGACACTTTAGAATAAAAGTTATTTTAGGATATATATGCACATATTTGTTTTTATTTTACTAGGTTATTTGATGATAATTAACACTACTGTGGGTAGCACAAAATTGGCTTGTTAATTTTGCCTTACATTTACCAGTTTCTAGATGATAAGAACTACTACTGATTGTGTGGTATTTCTGATCTTTATTTTTCTTCCTTCAGATTAGCAGGAAACTCCCAAGATGGAAACGTTGTCTTTCCCCAGATATAATGTAGCTGAGATCGTGGTCCATATCCGCAACAAGATCTTAACAGGAGGTGATGGTAAAAACCTCTCCAAGAGTGATCTTTATCCAAATCCAAAGGTAAAATGTGGTTATGTGTGCATGTGAATAATGGAATTTGAGAATAAAGTAAGATACTAGGTCTATAGTGTGGCAAGAAAGGTATATGCACTCCTATTTTATGTGGGCCAGTCATTTTGATCCAGAGAAAATCTCTCACCTCAAGTAATTTTAAAATAACGATAAGTTTATATGTGGGACAACATCATATTCCCATTAGGATTCAATTCTTTAATGTGGTCGTTTTCTTATAAAAAAAATAACTTTTAAACCATATTAAAGTATATTAAATTTTTTATTATTATTGCAATGGTGGTCTGAGAGTATACTTTATTGGTAGGGCTTGAAAGAACTTATTCCAAGTGGTTTCCAATCACAAAAAGTGCTTAGAAACTATTCTCTTCGGAACCTTACAGATTAATTTTCTTGCATTATGCCCCAGGGGGAATTGAGTTGTTTTGACAGGCATTGTTCTTTATATCTTTAGTTATTAAATACAAAAATGAACTATTTATGTGTCACAGAAAATCCCAGAGTCTCCTTCCAGTTTCCCGTCTTGATCTTGAAGTGATAACGTAGTAAAATCTGGTTTTACTGATGTAGAAACTCAAACTTTTTGCTCTCAGTACTTATTTAAAATGGAAGTAATAATCTCAGAATAAACGATAGGCCTTTCAATTGAATAAATTTAGCTTTATGAAAAGATTACCATATTTTCCCTATGTTTTTCATTTTACTGCTTATCCAATAAACACATATATTTGGATCAGAACAGGTTCACAAGCCAGCATTTAGGAACTGCTCATTTAGAAAATAAGATTTTTAAAATCCCCTATTACCCTATTAAATTTATACCTCCTACATCAAATGTTCCCTTAAACTTTAAATAAAAGGAAACCTTAATATCTATAGCAACAAACAAGGTTTCTCATGGTCTTTTTAAAAAGGTACATCCTTAGTGTGCCATTGCTTTTGCCACATGCCTGACAGCCTGTTCTAAGAGGCTCACCGTTTTTCCCCTTCCTTCGGGAGGATGGGTTGCTTGGATTGGATTTGGACATACCTGCTCTCATTCTTAAACATCTTATTTCATTGACCACTCATTATATACCAGCAAACTAAGTGTCACATGTTTTAAAATTTGGAAAAATTAAGGACTATTTCAAGGGAAATAGAGTAACTTTGTGGCCTTTTTCTTCTTTACTTTCATTGACTAATATTAGATGATAACGACGATAGTGATACAGTTTTAGAATCATGCATCAGAGTATTAAAAGTTATTTTTCTGTTGTAGCCTGAAGTCTTGTACATGATCTACATGAGAGCCTTACAGATAGTATATGGAGTTCGCCTGGAGCATTTTTACATGGTGAGTTTAAGATGAGTCAAAACATGATTTTTTGCTCCATTTCTCCTGCTCATAATGCATACTGGCTTTTAAGATAGGAAGTTCTTGACTTTATTGTTAACAAATTCAAAGACTTTTACAAAATTAATGTTGCTTGCAAAAGAATCTTAGGTACAGTAGTAATCATTTATATTGATAGCTTTAGTAAGACAAAAAACATAGTGAAAGACTTAAAGGACACTTGCACATTATTGTGCTGTGCAATTGTTCACAGATTTATAAGTTTGTCTTCAGAGACTATAATAAACAACAGTAAAGTTTTCATATCCTCTTCTCAGGAAGGACTGCCAAATTAATGCAGATGTTAGGTAGTAAGATTGAAACAAGGTGAGGCAACTGCGCTTATAGCAAATTAGGTGTTAGTAGGAAAGGTAATTTTTCTTTTTTTGTTGTTGTGAAATCACAAGGGCATCATCTAAAGATGCACTCAAAATGTAATGTCTTTGGAATCTCACCAATATGATTGCATATTTGAAATTTGTTTAAAAGTCAAAAGCTTTGCCACTTGCTATGAAACTTTGCTAGTTTCAAAGACGCTAAGCTTGGTTTCTTTGTCTATAAAATAAGGATAGCACTATGTAATAGGGTTGTAAAAATTAGAAGAGAATACATGTAAAATACCTAGCATAGTACCTGATATTTAGTAAATGCTAACCATTAATCCTTCATTTTTTTTATTCATTTAAAAATCTTTACCCACTGAACCTAGCATTATTACTTTTAACAACAACTCTAGCTTTGTACTATGATCTTTATTATTTAAGCATTTTAATTTAATTATAACAAGTTAATATATTTTGATCTTAATATGTAATTAAGGTTTCTTATGGTTGAAGATTTTTCTCATGCTGTCTAATCAATATGTAATTTAGATTTTGTGATTTATCACATTTAGATGCCAGTGAACTCTGAAGTCATGTATCCACATTTAATGGAAGGCTTCTTACCATTCAGCAATTTATTTACTCATCTGTGAGTACAGAATGGTTTTATTGTCTTAGTCTACATTTATATTTACATTACATTAAGCTTTCTTAATGACATGATTTTCTTTAGGAAAGAATTTCTGCCATCTTTCTCTTTATTCCATTCCATAAACATTCAAAATTGTAGACTGCCACCAAACAGAACTGCTTCCACCTATGGCACTTTTTCAGAATGCTTTCAATGGAAGTTCTAAGATGTTATAAATCTAAAATTATTTGCCATCTTTGTGAAGGCTTTTGTGTTCTTAAAGAGAGTGTCTCCAGTTAGAATCTATAACTATACTCATGGTATTGCATGAATACATTAGTAGCATACAGAAAAAATAGATTTCGGTGCCATAGAATTATGCATTGTAGTAGACTTCTGGCTTTGTCTTTTGATACTGACAAATATATTGAGAAATCTCTTTTTGAAAATAGATGTTTATATCCTATGGCTTAGTGTATAATTTACAATATACTTTTCAATATTCTTTCTCCACTTCATCTTCAAGGGACTCATTTATGCCCATCTGCCGGGTGAATGACTTTGAGACTGCTGATATTTTATATCCAAGTAAGTGAGAATTTAAAACAATTTTTAATGTCTGGCTTCAATCAACCATTTTACCTTTCCATCGATAAATGTAAAAAAAAAAAACTTCAAGGAAACTGGTTTTAGAAAGTGTTTTTCATTTTTAAGGACGAATTTTTTTAATATCTTATTATAATTTTTTTCCTTTGTACACCCACAGAAAAGCTATTTTTCTAATTATTTTTTAACTCCTTCCATTTTAAAAGTTCTATGAATTTGGGAATACAAATATAAATAATATACCACTGTGTATATATAAAATAAAAACAATATGAACAACTGTTTACATACCAATTTTATCAAATGTAACAATTACTTTTTACCATGAAGAAATTATCTTTTGGCACTAATAAGAATAGTCATGATGCTGTATTGTAAAATTCTAGCTTTGCTAGAATTAAGTATGCCTTAATTCATTTGACTCTTTTATTTATTCATCAAGTTATTTTATGTTGCAAGAGATTTGCTGTGTGCTATTTAAAATTGTTTTTCACCCTCTTTTGGAACCTTAACTTTTGTTTGGTTTGATTTATTGACATAAATTTACACACAATAAAATTCACCAATTGTAAGTATAAATCAGATGAGTTTTAACACGTGTATATAGTTATGTACCACTGCCACAATCTTATATAGAACATTTCCAGGAACCCCAAAATTTCCTCATGTCTTTTTGCAGTCTCCTTGGTTCCTTCATTCCCTGGCAAACATGGATCTGCTTTCTATCACTAGTTTTGACTCTTCTAAAATTTAATATAAATGAAATCCTATAATCTGTAATCATTTGTGTCTGGCTTCTTTAAGAATAATGCTTTTGAGATTACATGTTATTGCAATTATTTGTTGTTTGTTTCTTTTTATTTTGGAGTGTTCTATTATAAGTATATACCACAATTTATCTATCCATTGACCAGTTGGTAAACGTTTGAATTGTTTCTAATATTGGCCATTATGGACAAAGCTGCTATGAACATTGACATACAAGTCTTTGGGTGAACATGTCTTCATTTCTCTGGATAAATACCTAGGAGTTGAAATGCTCAGTGACTACGAAATAGGACCAGTAGTAAATTACAGGAAAATATATTTCTAGCCATAAGAAGAGTTATCTAATTTAGAGCATATTAAAGTAGGAAAAAGTTGCTGGGAGTTATGGAATTCTGTGATGTTTTTCAAACTTTCAGCAGAATGGGAAGTTATTTAATAATCTTTAGAATGGCTTCCTATATTCATTAGAGGTTAGGCAAGTGGCAGAGCTTCTTTTAACCTAATATTCTAGGAACATTAGAGGGCTAAAGAAAATAGATTTCCAGAATTTGTGGAAATTCAGTTTGCTTGCATAATGGAATATATTACCTTTGGCTTTCTGGAATCAGTCCAGCTTCACTGGACAGTAGGGGATCTGTAGGTAACTAAATAGGTATATAGTAAGTGGCTGAACAATGCTTCTATTCTGCTTCTCTTCCTCTTACAATTGCTGTTCTCCTAGTCACAGGGAGAAGATGAAGAGAATGAAAGGTCTTACCTACCAGGTTCACATAATGTAGTGTCAGAGTTCTGTGAACATAATTCTATATTGTGACAAGTATTATGACAGAGTTAAATGCAAGGTTCTAGGACAAGTTTCTTAACTCGCATCATTGACATTTTGAAACCAGATAGGTCTTTGCTCCTGGGGGTCACCCCATGCATTATAGGAATTATCAGCTTCCTGGGTCTCTACTCATTAGATTTTAAATAGCACCTTCACACCTGTTCAACATCTAAAATGTCTACAAACTTTCCAGATGTGCACTGGGGGGAGGGCATAATGGAGAACTACTACTCTAGGGACACAGGTAGGAAAATTAGGACATTAGGATAAGTGGTTTTGTTTTGATTTTTTTTAATTCCCACTTTGGTGATAGGAATTCTGCCAATTACAATATCTATTCTTTATTTTTTTTTCTCCTTTCCTATTTGCATTTTAACCTATTAATCATCTCACTTAGTATGAGATAGGAATGTCAAATCAGAATATAATTCTACTCTATATTGCTTTGTTAATGTGTTGCCTTATATCTTGCTTGGAAATTAATCTAGGATTGATCTTGTTAAGCCTCTGACCTCTAAATGTAGAAAAGAAGCCCATGGTTTCTCATGTATCATTCAATCAGTTCTCCTTCCCACGGAAAAGAACAGTATTAGAAAATTAGCAGAAAATGACTGTGACACTTCAGAATAAAAGTTATTTTAGGATATATATATGCACATATTTGTTTATTTTACTAGTTATTTGATGATAATTAACACTACTGTGGGTAGCACAAAATTGGCTTGTTAATTTTGCCTTACCATTTACCAGTTTCCAATGATAAGAACTACTACTGATTGTGTGGTATTCTGATCTTATTTTCTTCCTTCAGATTAGCAGGAACTCCAAGATGGAAACATTGTCTTTCCCCAGATATAATGTAGCTGAGATCGTGGTCCATATCGCAACAAGATCTTAACAGGAGGTATGGTAAAAACCTCTCCAAGAGTGATCTTTATCCCAAATCCAAAGGAAAATGGGTTATGTGTGCATGTGAATAATGGAATTTGAGAATAAAGTAGATACTAGGTATAGTGTGGCAAGAAAGGTATATACTCCATTTTATGTGGGCCAGTCATTTTGATCCAGAAAAATCTCTCACCTCAAGTAATTTTAAATACAGTAAGTTTATATGTGGACAACATCATATTCCATTAGATTCAATTCTTTAATGTGGTCGTTTTCTTATAAAAAAAATTTTAACCATATTAAAGTATATTAAATTTTATTTATTATTGCAATGGTGGTCTGAGAGTATACTTTATTGGTAGGTGAAAGAACTTATTCAAGTGGTTCCAATCACAAAAGTGCTTAGAAAACTATTCTCTTCGGAACCTTACAGATTAATTTTCTGCATTATGCCCCAGGGGGAAGAGTTGTTTTGACAGCATTGTTCTTTATATCTTAGTATTAAATACAAAAATGAACTATTATGTGTCACAGAAAATCCCAGAGTCCCTTCATCTTCCCGTCTTTGATCTTGAAGTGATAACGTAGTAAAATCTGGTTTTACTGATGTAGAAACTCAATTTTGCTCTCAGTACTTATTTAAAATGGAAGTAAATCAGAATAAACGATAGGCCTTCAATGATATAATTTACTTTATGAAAAAGATTACCATATTTTCCTATGTTTTTCATTTTACTGCTTATCCAATAAACATATATTTTGACAGAAACAGGTTCACAAGCAAGCATTTAGGAACTGCTCATTTAGAAATAAGATTTTTTAATCCCTAATACCCTATTAAATTTATACCTCCTACATCAAATGTTCCCTTAAACTTTAAATAAAAGGAAACCTTAAATCTATAGCAACAAACAGGTTTCTCATGTCTTTTTAAAAAGTACATCCTTAGTATGCCATTGCTTTTGCACATCACTGACCACCTTCTAAGAGCTCACTGTTTTCCCCCTTCCTTAGGGAGGATGGTTGCTTGGATTGGATTTGGACATACCTGCTCTCATTCTTAACATCTTATTTCATTGACCACTCATTAATATCAGCAAACTAAGTGGTCACATGTTTTAAAATTTGGAAAAATTAAGGACTATTTCAAGGGAAATAGAGTAATTTGTGGCTTTTCTTCTTTACTTCATTGCCAATATTAGATGATAACGACGATAGTGATACAGTTTAGAATCATGCATCAGAGTATTAAAAGTTATTTTTCTGTTGTAGCCTGAAGTCTTGTACATGATCTACATGAGAGCCTTACAGATAGTATATGGAGTTCGCTGGAGCATTTTTACATGGTGAGTTTAAGATGAGGCAAAACATGATTTTTTGCTCCATTTCTCCTGCTCATAATGCATACTGCTTTTAAGATAGGAAGTTCTTGACTTTATGTTACAAATTCAAAGACTTTTAACAAAATTAATGTTCTTGCGATCTTGTCTTGCAGTGTTTCTTTGTGCGCAAGGGTGGGAGCGAGGCTGAAGAAACTAGCGGCACTGGGAGAGCGGCGACGCAGCCATATACGATTCATTTTTAATTATGATTTGCCCCATTCGGTCCCCCCCCCAAAAAAAAGCGCTCAGTTCCTGTGAAACTACATGGGTGTTGCCTGTGCAGGTGAACTGTGGAAGACGAGTCTGAGTTGAAATTGGTCCAATTCAAGTTGGCGTTATGTTGTTTGTTAATCCATTTAAGTGGAGGGTGGTTGGTAATGGGGCATTCTTTTGGTTGCAGGATGGGTTGTCACACTTTTTGTATAAGTTGCTCCATTGCTCAAGCATCTCCTAACCAAACTAAACCATTGGAACACAAAGGCAAATAGTCAATATCGTCTTATATCCAAGAGTCAAAGGAGAGAAGCAGTGTATGTACTGGCACACGCGTACGTAACACGATCATTTTTCCTTGTACAGATTCAAAGAAGTTTTTACTTAATTCGTGAGTTGGGAGTCATTTCTGTTTGTTTTTGTTTAACTTCTCTGCCTCCTAGATTATTGATTTCCACCAACCGGTTTATTTTAGCAAACGAAGCTCTGTAAATTAACGAGAATCCTTTCAATACTACTCTGGTACAGCATCCTGTGGGCAATAACACGAGGAACCAGGTAATAGCAGTTAATTCTCTGCCATTGCTAGACGATGACGTTATCACTTTACATGTATTAAGTCATTTCCTAATACTTGTATTCATCTAGAGCTCCAACCTTTCGTCACTTACGAAAGTGTTCTGATCTCTTATCACTTCTCCACACCACATATTAATGAATTAATTGGAACTGAATTTGTACTTGAAATGGTACGAATTTGGATATTGGGGGAATCCAAAAGAAACATTGAGTGTGGCAGCTTAGGAGACTAATTTGGGAGCAGAAGTTCATGGATTATTAAATGTTTAGAAACCAATGCAGAAATTTTGACCCCATGTGGTGGTTAGTGAGAATAATTGAAGTAA